ATGATGACTTACGACCAATTTCTCTTACATCTGTCCTTAGTAAAATACTGGAACGTTTTATTTATCGTTGGCTCCTTTCCTCTATTTATCCGCACATCGATCCATATCAATATGGAAACATGAAGAACTGTTCGACAACTCACCAGCTCATTCATCTCATTCACCATTGGTTGGTTGAAACTGACAAACCTGGAAACCTAATTAGATCATGTATGATTGATTTCTCAAAAGCGTTCGATCGTATTGATCATAACATTCTCCTAATGAAACTAACAAATTTAGATGTGCCCCCCATATTGATAAATTGGTGTGCCAATTTTTTGCAAGATCGTCAACTTCGTGTAAAACTTGGAGAAATAAGATCTAATTGGAAACAGATTAAGGCCGGCGTACCTCAAGGAACTATCCTTGGTCCCCTGTTTTTCCTAGTGATGATCAACGACCTCACCACTACCACCACCACACACCCATTGTATAAGTATGTTGATGATTGCAGTACATATGAAGTGGTTTCCCGGCCAGCTTGTAATTCTATCCTTCAACTAGATATTAGTACAATCTGTGATTGGAGCAATACTAACAATATGCGGTTGAATGCCAAGAAAACCAAAGAATTTCGTGTATCCTTTTTACAATCTGAACCTGAATTTGATCATCTGACAATAAACGGTAGTCCGCTTGAAGTTGTTGATAGTTTCAAACTCCTGGGTATCACTCTAAGCAGCGATCTGTCCTGGAACATTCACGTTTCAAACATATCTGCTAAAGCAAGCAAGCGACTATATGCCCTACGAATCATGAAACGCCATGGTGTTCCAGTAAAGAATCTAATCTCCATCTTCTGTTCATTCATTCGTCCAGTGCTTGAGTATGCATGTCAAGTTTGGCACTCTTCTCTGCCATTGATGTTATCAGATCAAATCGAACACATCCAAAAACGAGCTTTAAAGATTGTGTTCCCACACCATTCATACGCTGAAGCCCTTGATAAAGCAAAACTAAAAACACTTCAAGAACGAAGAGAAATTCAGTGTCTGTCCTTGTATCAATCTATTTTAAAAGATGACAATAAACTAAACAATCTTCTTCCAAGTCCTATTACACATAAGTATAGTTTAAGGAATCCAAGGAAATATCCTCTATTTAAATGTAGGACTGAACGTTTTAGAAATAGTTTTATTCCGTACTGTGTTGCAAAGTGGGATTCTCTGGGTAGTTAGTAAACTTACATTTTTAACTTAGTTAACATTAGTAAACTTACGTTTTTAAATAGTTGTATTTCAAATTACGTATTTTTAATCATATAGTATTATGTAATTTCAAGTTTTTCAGATTGCCAATCATTTGATAGCAACCTGCCATTTGAAAACTTCAATAAATTCAATTCAATCTGGAACGTCTGGAACATCTGGAATATCCGGAACATGAATCTCATAAATCAGTTTTTACAATTTTTTTGCGCAATTTGGCAATATTAACCTTGATATTAACACGGATTTACGCCATTTAAACTTGTAGATTCAGTCAATTTTGACGAGTCCACGAGCCTATTTGTTGATATGTGAAAGGTATATACATAAATGCTTCTAAATTCTGTTATTATTTTCTCGACAGTCGCTATATATAAACTAATTATATAAACTATGTCGATAGTGGAATAGTATTTTGCAGGTTTCATATCTTCGATTCAGTGAATGTTATGTAGATGCAAATACCACCATTAGATTCAGTGAAATAATATCTCTTAATTCCTAACGATAGTTTTTAGCTAATAGTCAAAGACAACCATTATAGGGACTTACGAGCCTTGAGTGGTCAAGCGATATTATATTTTAAAAAAATGACATAACTGTTCAAAGAGTGTAAACAATGTGTTACTAAGCCATATCTTTCGCCGAACATAACTTCAGACCCTTCGAACATATATCTTTTTCGTTGTAGTCTTGTTGGAATCACAATCTAAAACACTATTTGGAGTGTTATATTTTCAAGCCTGTAGCTTTCGTTTTTCATCTTTTATTTCGGTATTTCAATCTGAAGTAGTATAGTCTTCTCAGCGGGATATTTCTAAAGGTCAACTTACAACTGTTACTCTTTATTAACCAATTTTAGCATGCGAGTAAAAACCCGACATTTTGAAATCATCAAAATAAATATTTTTTACTCGCCGTATTCAGACGAAACTTTCTACATGAAAGCGCTTGAATACAAGGAGTATTTTACTCGATTGACTTGGGGAAATTCGGTATCGAAAAGATATTTCTTGGGAAGATATTCAGAATTTAAATACAAAAAATAAATAAAAATTTAAATTCAAGGATCTGAACTGCAAAATAGTGAAAACACCATTCCACTATTGGCATGGTTTAATTAGCGCCTGTCGAGGAAATAATGCTGACATAATTTTGAAGCCTTTACCTTTCATTTCCTACAAATAAGCTCGTGGACTCGTCAAAATTGACTGAATCTACAAGTTTAAATGGCGTAAATCCGCGTTAATATTGCCAAATTGTGCAAACAAATTGTAAAAACTGATTTATGAGATGTTCCAGATATTCCGGATGTTCCATTCCACGTTTTAGACGTTGCTTGAATAGTTGAAGAAATTTGTGTTTAGGTATATTTCTGCGCTTTTAAAATTCACCTTTTTAACAACTTTTAATTGGCTTATTTCATATAATCAACTCAAAACAGCTTTCTTGTTGGTGGCAGATAAAAATTTAGTTGGTTACTTAACTTGATTGACAGGTTTTCTTTGTTTGTGACATTTTATCCAATCAAAATTCAAGAACGATGACGTCAGTGGCAAGTCGTTCCTAATTTCGTATGCAACTTCATAACCTGTTTCAGGTGTTAGTTTTCATTGCATCTGAAAATCTAACATTTTTGACCGCCGTTTACAGCGCTAAACGCATGAAAATCCTTCAAACAAAAGGTGGAAATCTAATTTTTCAGGTTTGTCATATAACAAAAATCCTATTGAATGGTTTGGCATATAATGCCTGCCGAGCATTTTACTTGTTTCTCGCATATTTCCTTGCCCTTTCAGGAATCGGAAAAGTACGTTCGAAACTCGTAAAATACTCGGCCGGACCATATGTCAAACCATTCAATAAGATAGATATGTAATTCTACGATTTCTACCGTTTGCCAACAATTCATTTATCTGGCGAGGAGGCTAGAGACCACATACCTTTGCATATATTGTCTTCGTCATAAAATACATCACCGCAGACACAATTGTATTCTCCATGGTAACCATATGGTACACATTTGCTTTCGGGTTTTTGCATGCTGCAGTTTATGTTTTCGCATGCAGGTTTAGCTACAAAAAAATAAGAAGCTACTAATGCAGAATATCATGGTTAGCAAAAAGTTAACTGTGGTCGAAGTATGAAGTTCATGCCAACATTATTCAAATTACCTAATTAATTTTGAGAACAAATATAGGCCCATGTTTTGCATTACCCTATAACGCCTACAATATATCTATACCATATTATACACTGCGACAAACTTATTTAAAATATCGCGTGAGATTTACTCCTCAACTAGAAATACAATCTAACGCAACCCGACCCTCGGATATAATATCAAGCAAGAAATGTCGGTATGTAGCACTATACAAGCGAGGTTCAGATTTGACTACCGCTACCGCTACCTTAAGTAGTACACGCATGCGCAATGACAGCCAAATAATTTAGTTCCCGTCGTGAGTTTTGGCTTCGCTACATTAAAAAAGCAAAATAAAGTCGTCGAGGGAACCTTTCCACAGGTAAGCATTTTTTGACAATTTTCTGCGAAAAATATCAACTTACAGAGCCTCACAAGACACGAGTATGATCTTAATTTATTTTATTATTAAAGTTCTTCACAAAAATGATTTTTTAACACAGGAAAATTTAATACGAAGGAAAAACAGTGGCAACTCAAATACTTGAGCATTTATAGAAATGACCGCTGAAAACGATGTCTTTATAGACAAAACGATTGAGAATAATACGTAAGTTTTATATCATTTAGTCTTTGTAAAAGGTTTGCATTTTATACATGCTTCACATTTATGAATTATGGACCCTTTATAGCACCGTCATGTTTAATTTCCTCTTACAGAGTTGGTATAAAACCGCAAAAGGCGAAAAATTTTAGATGGAAACCTAAACATGATATTTCGCTCTTAATTGAGGTGATTTCCACCGAGCCTTACAGATGGAGACATGGCTCTCGAGAATGCGGAGAGGCCTTTCGAAGAGTTGCTGAAAACCTAAAACTAATACCTAATTCTGCCTTTCCCATCAGCCTCAATCAACGTGGAGTTCGCACTAGATTTTTTGAGTTGCTTGACTCTTTCAAGAAGCAAGAAAGCACAGAAGCTAGGGCGACTGGTATTGATGCAGAGTTTGATGAAAAAACACAGTTGCTAACGGACATCCACAACCGTATGAAAGATTTCGAACTTGGCTTCGTCCAAGAGATAGAAAAAAAGCAGGAGCAACAAGAGAAAGAAAAGGCAACCGCAGAGGAAATGCAGCGAAAGGCAAGTGAAAAACTCGGGGAAACTTCACAACGAAAAGAGCTAGTTACCCCAAGCAAAAAGAGAAAGTCTACTGAGTTTGTGGAAAACTTAAAGCAAAAAGAAGAAGGCAACAGACTAAATAAAGGCAGCTATAAATATTCGCGAGGAAGAATTAAAATTGGAAGAACAAAAGCTAGATTTCCAACAAGGGATGCAAAATCAAATGTTGGAGCAATTGAGAATGCAGCAACAATCTCAAGCAGCAATGTTTAATTTGTTTCAAACCTTTTCAGATAAGTTCAAGTCCCAATAATTTTTCTTGAATGTTGACAGTTAGTTTGCTATCATTGTTCATATACAAACTATAAATAACTGTATTGTTTTGTTGTCAAATTATATAATAATTGAATTTAATTGTTGTGTATAAATAATTTACCAAGTCAATATAATTTTTGGAATAAGTTTAATTGTGCACAAAGATTGTTTGGAATAAAGGATTTTTAAAACTTCGTCAAAATGTCAATTATATCTAATCTAACAGGGATTAAATATTTTGTCCACATTATACTTCTAATCCCAAGATTACACACAAAATATATAAAGTGAGAACTCAATATACAACTGCATGATCATTATTTATGAAGGATGGCCCTCCACAAAACAATTGATTTACATCGATTAACTAAAATATTCATCCAGGTGTGGAGGCACCAGACGAAAGAATTGAGAGGTTTGTGAACAATTGAGACATGTTTTCGCATTGAAAATCAAACACGACACTGCATAAATCTTTGCAACTAACTGCAATCCGATCTTTAAATTCTTTTTAAAGTCATTAAAAGCAAAGTAGGTGGCAATTTCCCCAAATGGCCATTCCACAGCGACTCTAACAGAACTCATAGATTTGTTGAACTGCAGCTGAGCCTGGGTCAAGTTTGCTCCTTTATATGGGCACTGCAGGTGAATTCTGTGCGAATATGCAGGATCTCCATATATAGCCAATGGGTTTCCATTGGGATCATGTGAATGCATTTCAAGTAGGGGGTACAAACCAAACATCACCATCATCGCTGCGTCATGCCGTTTGCCTTCTAAAATTATAAAACATATATCTTTTCTTAGTAAAAATTACATATTACATACTCTAGTTTGGTACTCATGCATGATGCTTGATTAATTAATTAATTTAACACACAACTAAGACTCTTCCCTTGACGAATAAAATCATCTGGTGTTAGACAGACTATAATGCTAAAGAGTGCATTGGCCGGGGAAGATTGCACGTTAAAAGGTTCACATACCATCTGCCTATATATGTCTATGTCTTGTGTCAACCCATTAGGCCACAATGTCCCTCAATGCAGTTACATGAAGGGTGAAATGTTGGGAATTATTAGTAAGAACAACTTAAAGTTGTACTTACCAACTGGCACATACAGGTGAACAATTAAACATATTGCTGCATTTACAGCTTGCCACTTTATTGTATGTGTTCTTTTGTGGCGATTATACATAATCTTCTGATGTACTTTTGGTCTACATATTGGTCTTACCTATTTGAAGAAAAAAAATGTGTAAATATTTAGACATATTTATTAAACAATTCTATAATTACAATACCTGACTCTTCCACAGTCCCTAGCACTGCTTCTAACGCAAAGGACCATGGGAATGCCCCTCGCCGTCACATTCCCATCAATCAGCGCGCGTTGGGTAATTCAACGCGCGTTAGGTAAGCGACTGGGGACGAGTCAGTTACAATACAGCTTCTGGCTCATTAGCAACATATTTATCAAGGCCGGCAAGAGGGGGGAAATACCCAGGGCCCTGAAGTTGCCAGGTGGGCGTTACTTCAGCATTTTACTCTAACAACAGACGATTTTACTCTGGCTAAGGCCCAAACCATGTAGGCAAAATTTACTCATTTATTAATGATATTTGTTTATTTTTATATACTTACTGTGCCATCCACAAATCCCCAGACATTGTCGAGAGCAGCACCTTTCTCGTGAACAGCTCTTGCCATTTTCATCAACTTTTCTGGGGCTAGCCATGGGACATTTAGATTACTTAACAGCGAATGGTATTGGGCAAACACAAAGTCGACAACATCGTTGAATATCATGCTAGGTTCTGTTTTTGATCTACCAAACATGGAAATCATGTCTGTTATACGATTTGGGTAAGCCAAACGACGAAGAAGTACACATAATCCTTCTAAAGAGCCAGAAATTGTATCATTTTTGCATAAAAATTGATTAGGTAATCGCAGTGCAGTGACTAAATGCAAAACATCAACTTTTTGGAAACGAAAATTCAGTAGCACTCTTCATCGGTGTATTTATCGAGTTCAAACCGTGGATAATTTCTGTGAGGTACCGGTGGCGGTAGCTCTGTTAAATAAAGTTAAAATCCGAGCTTTTCCTCGTCTTCTAAGTCACCTTCTTCTTCTGCTAAAAACAACAGTTCTTCTTCGTAAATTCTCAGAGCCGCCATCTTTATTGTTGACAAGACGAAGAAGTCGCAGAAGAACTGGACTCAAAACTGAACTCAAAAACGTATTGTCGCGACCTCAACCGATTGCGCCAATGAGAGGTAGCGGTAGTCAAATCTGAACCTCACTAATAAAATATTCGGGAACTGTACAGTTGTTTGGTATAAAAATGCGAGGGGTTGTTGCATATACATGTACGTATTTATAGTTAGCGCTTTTAAGCGCTTTTAATAATTAATAAGATTTTATTGAAGAATATAAAATGCGTTTACTTTTCTAGCAGTTTGAGTGTTCGAATCTGGAATCAAGTCCATTATATTATTGCTCACCTTGCTGATCGAACACGCATGCTACCAACATGCACTCATTGTGAAAGCTGTACACAATGGACCTTTAACCTTATAGCTTGCGGGGCCGCAATTTATCTTGGAGTTGGGTATCTTTTGCATTCTTGTTCGAAATGGTCGCCATGTTGCGACAATTTTATTGAGTGTCAGAATTCAATATTTTCACTTGTTTACGTGTGGCAAATAACCGCCTCAACGACGTATTTTTGGCGGGGTTACTTTCGACGACCGTTTGTGGAAAAAATGAGCGAAATCGCCGCAGTGATGGCCAAGAAAATGCATTTCATATCGATCGAATTGGAGTGGGCATATTTCGAGAAAAACATTCTCTTCGCAACGTCTCCTGTCCTCTTTTGAGGTGAGTGTCCTTCTGCATGGTATTTTAGCAAATTCTTTTAGTCTGTGGCTATTTCGGCGAGTTTTTTCTACCCTTATTTCGTATTAGTTGTGCTCTTAAACGTCTGGTCAACTTAAACGTTTGATCGATTGTTTTCGAAATTAACATGGCCGACTGGCCTTTAAACTTGAGCAGTTTTGGCGCGAAAATGAGCCTCTTGAATTCTGTTTTGTTTAAAATACACTAAAGTCATACTTGCTCGATATTTTGCTGCTGTTATCGGTTCTGTTTATCCTTCGAGGATGCTCTGGTTTTTGTCTTCCTAAAGCTAGGTGGTATCACTTGAAATAATATCAATACTGAGTAATTTTTAGCCTGTGCTAAACCATAAATTTCCTATCTAAAAATTAAGTTTCGTATTGTTAAATTGTTTATTCATTTAGTAGGGCTATATAGGTAATATAATTTAGCTTTATCAAATTGTTTTTAATAAGTATAATTTAGAAATAAATTTTAAAATATCATATTTGTAAATTTGTATATAAAATTATAAATATTTTAGTGTTAGTTAAATTTTATTAAATATAATCAGTTATAAATTAATAAACTAGTAAGTATAAATGGAAGACAATCCTTGCACCTCAACGGATGCAGACCAATGCACAGAGTTTGAGGAACAAAAAAAATAAAGGAAACTTGTGGAGGGTAAACTGTTCTGTTCCACAGTGTCTAAATAATAGCCTACGAAATCCTGAGCTTTCGTTTTACTCAATACCTAAGGATACAAAGGGGTTGTAAGAAAAACAAAGGGGTTGTTGGAAATAAAGTATTATTACAGGGTGTGCTCAGCACATTTTCCTGACGGAAAAAAGAAGTACATTAACAATGATCCAACCATATTAACGAACTGTGGAAGTAAGCAACCAAGAGAGACAGTGTTGCGAAAGCCTGATAGCTGTTATAGATGGTAATTTATTCATAATAGGTTATATATTGTGTAGACAATAAGTTGTTTTGGTCAGTAATAAATCTTGCTCGTCTAAGACACGAGTCAAAAGAATACTAGTTTAGTCGTCGACAAATCATACCGTCTACGACTACGGCATGGAGAACGAAGCGCCAGAAGTTGTTCAAGGCGAAATACCTCAAGTACAACCAGCACAATTAGCTATGCTTCATCAAATATTACCGCCACAGCCTCTAGACTTGAGAAATAGTGGTGAAATCGGCGAAAATTGGAAACTATGGAAAGAGAAATACAGCAACTACTTCGTTATCTCGAGACTACAACAAGAAAGCGAACAATATCAGTTAGCGATGTTTAAACATGCAATTGGGGACGATGGCTTAAAGGTCATTAAAACATTCAGTTACGCAACAGAAGAGAATGTTAATGACTGGCGTGTGGTCATGAGCAAATTAGAAAAGCATTGAATTGGGGATAGAGATATACGAAAGATACTGGTTTAATATATAGACGCGATAAACTTCCAACTGAATCCGTGGACAATTTCGTCGCTGAGTTGAAAACCTTGGCAATGACCTGCAATTTCTGTGAGTGCCTTCGCAATAGTTTAATTCGTGATCGTATTGTCCTGGGAATTAAGAATGAACAAACAACGAAGAAGCTACTAAGAACAAGAGACCTCACCTTAAACAAATGCATAGACATATGTCGAAGCGAGGAAGTTACGGACATGCAGATGAAGTCTCTTGCAGAGCCCGAAGATATCAATCAAATCCACCAGTCGAAAGCAAAGATTAAGCCGAGAATTTCCGAAGGAAAGAAAGGGTTACAATCTGGCAAGAAAGTTTCATGTCAATTTTGTGGCTACGAACACGCGCAAGACAAAAAGAAATGCCCGGAATGGGGAAAAACTTGTAATCGATGCAAAGAAAGAAACCATTTTGCTAAGAAATGCAAGAAAACCTCAGTTTACACTTTACAGTATCGAGAGCGAAGACGAGTACGAGGAAATCAGCATGGTCAAAGTCCAAGAAGTGCGAGAAAAGGCTGTGTTCGCGAAAATACACATCAATAACAAAGCTATAAAGTTTCAGATCGACTGTGGTGCAAGTGTTAATGTATTACCGCTCATGTTTGCCAAAGACGTCGAGCTTACTCCGTGTACCAATACACTCGTGATGTGGAATGGCACAAAGGTCAAACCCTTGGGATCCTGTATCCTACCGGTGATTAACCCAAAGAAAGACGTAAAGTATCAAGTGAAATTTCTTGTCGTTGAAGAGAATTGGACACCGTTATTGGGTTTGAATGCGGTAGAAAAGATGAAATTGCTAACAGTTCACAGCGAAAACTTTGTCAATGTCGTGGAGAAATGTGACAATGATCCTGTAAACAAGTATCCAGATGTTTTTGATGAAAATCTTGGAACACTGCCCGGCAAGGTTCATCTGCAAGTAGATGCCACTTGCAAACCTGTGGTGTTACCCGCGAGGAAAATACCCGTGACTGTTAAAGAAAAGTTCAAGAATGAACTAAAAAGATTAGAAGACTTAAAAGTCAGATCATAGCCCCTGTGGACGAACCAACGGAATGGGTCGCCATGAAGAAATCAGGTTCGTTGCGGATTTGTATCGATCCGAAACCCTTGAATGCTGCTTTGAAGAGGGAACATTATCAAATTCCTGTGATTGATGATCTATTACCAGATCTGACAGATGCGTGTGTGTTTACTAAAGTGGATCTAGCTTCAGCTTTCTGGAATCTCGAACTGGATGAAGAGTCCAGCGTCCTGACAACTTTTGCAACTCTTTATTGTCGTTTCAAATGGCTTCGTCTTCCATTTGGTCTCAATGTCTCGAGCGAGATATTCCAGAAGCGTCTAAATCACGAGTTAGAAGCCCTTCCTGGCGTCAAGTGTATCGCTGACGATGTGTTGATTTATGGTACCAGTGAAGCTGATCATGACAGGAACTTAGCCAACTTTATGTGTAGGTGTCAACACAAGGGCATGAAGTTAAATCCCCAGAAGCTAGAGTTCAAGTGCAAAGAAGTTCCATTTCATGGACATTTGCTGACCACCGAGGGATTGAAAGCAGACCCAGAGAAAGTTGGAGCAATACGAGAAATGCCACGTCCAGAAAACCAAAGAAGACGTGTTACGCCTAAACGGGATGGTAACCTATCTTAGTCGTTTCCTGCCTCATTTGTCTGATGCGATGAAACCCTTACGAGATCTTACCCATAAAGATGTCGTGTGGAGTTGGAGAAAGCATGGGATAACGCGAAGAAGCTTATCTCAACTGCACCAGTCTTGGCATACTACCAACTTGCAGAACAATTGGAAATTCAATGTGATAGCAGCCAAAGTGGTCTTGGAGCCGCGTTGATTCAGAATGGACAGCCAATTGCGTATGCAAGCCGAGCTCTAACGGAAACGGAATCTCGTTATGCTCAAATAGAGAAGGAGTTGTTAGCTGTCGTTGTCGCAGTGGAAAAGTTCAACGATTACACATTTGGTCGAAAGACAATTGTCCACTCAGATCACAAACCTCTTCAGTCGATTCTCAAGAAACCCTTACATCGAGCACCGAAGAGATTAAAAGGAATGATTCTTCTCCTGCAGAAGTATAACGTCGAAGTTCGGTACCAAAGTGGGAAAACAATGCTATTTGCAGACACCCTTTCCAGAGCCTATGTTCCAGAGACAACTGGTCAAGGAGAACCGGAGTTCGAAACCATCAACATGCTAAAGTATCTGCCTATATCAGAAGAGAGACTCCTGCAGATACAGCGAGAAACGGAGAATGACGAATCTCTCCAGGTCCTCAAGGCCGTAATCCAACAGGGCTGGCCTGAACAGAAATCTGCCCTACCAAATATCATCTCTCCATATTACAACATGAGAGATGAAATGTCCGTTCAAAATGGACTCATTTTCAAAGGAGAAAGAGTGGTAGTTCCACGAGCGATTAGAAGCGTTCTGATGAAGAGAGTTCATAATGCGCATCTTGATGTTAATGGATGTCTTAACAGAGCCCGAGAGTGTTTATACTGGCCTGGGATGTCCGGGGACATCAAGAATTGTGTGTCAACGTGCGAGGTGTGTAGAGAATATGAACGAAGCCAGACGAAAGAAACTCTAATGAGTCATGAGGTACCAAGTCGACCATGGCAACGTGTAGCAGCTGATCTTTTCGAACATGCTGGAAGAACCTACCTGGTCACCACTGATTACTTCAGTGATTTCTTCGAATTGGATCATCTTCGACGTACAACCTCAACGTCAGTGATCAAGAAATTGAAAGCTCATTTTTCAAGGCATGGTATTCCTGAACAGTTAGTAACAGACAACGGTCCACAGTTTGTGTCACGTGATTTTGTCAAATTTGCGAAAGAGTGGGATTTTGATTCTCCGCGTCATAGTCAAGCCAACGAAAAAGCGGAGAGTGCTGTGAAAGAGGCCAAAAAGATCATAATGAAGCGCAACAAAGCTGGCACCGACACATTCCTAGCTTTGTTGGATCACAGAAATACGCCATCTGTAGCCGTCCAGATTAGTCCTGCACAGCGTTTGTTCAGTAGAAGAACGAGAAGTCTTTTACCTATGTCTGCTGAATTACTCAAGCCAAGTACGGCAGATGATGATTTGACACGCCTCAAATTGCGCATGCGTCAACAACAACAAGCAAGGTATTACAACAGAGGTGCGTGAGACCTTCCACCTTTAGAAGAAGGCGACTCGGTAAGAATCAAGCCCTGGAAACTTGGAAAGAAAGAATGGCAACCGGGATCGATAAGAAAACGTTTGGATGAGAGATTCTACGAAGTGCAAACACCCTGCGGTATTCTGCGACGAAACAGAGTTCATTTAAGAAGGTCCGATCTATCCTTAAACAACAATGATGCACCTACTCAAAATCCAGTGACGAGATCGCCCAGAGAACCTATTACCTCAACCCCAGTGATCGTACCTACCGTGGAGCTGAGTTTGCCATCAACCTCAACCACAATTCCTCCATCTCCAACAAATGAACAAGATAGTAGCAGTTCTGGACACACCAAAGTTCGAAGATCTCAGCGTTTGCGCCGATTACCAACACATTTGAAGGATTTTGTTTTGAAATAGAGACTGTGATAAGGAACATTTGAACATTAGGACATGTTTAGATTTATTTAGATTTGAAAACTTGACTAGAAAACTTATGAAAAAAAAAACTTATCTATTTTATAAAAGAAAGGATGTTATAGATGGTAATTTATTCATAATTAGGTTATATATTGTGTAGACAATAGGTTGTTTTGGTCAGTAATAAATCTTGCTCGTCTAAGACACGAGTCAAAAGACTGAGTTTTATAACAATAGCCCCTTACCGGATGAGCCTCACAACACTTCTTTCGAAGATATTTTTGAATGCAGCAATACAACACCTAAAGAAAACATGGCAACTGAAAACACAAACATTAGTTCTTTGACAGATGAGCTAATTACTTCTGACTTTAGTCAACACGCCAATACAACATCAGAGCATGACATGCTAACTGAGAATGCTGAATTAAAAGAGCAAGTTAAACAACTCGAATCCAAATGTACATCCCTTGAAAAAGATCTTGAGACTTATAAAACTTCATCACAGCAATACTTATTTCGAATGGAAAGATTTATTGGGAGTGATAGTGACTTTCGATTTTATACCGGTTTCCCAGATTATGCAACATTCAAAATTTTTTTTGATTACTTGTCACCAGCATGCACTAGTTTGATTCACTATGGGTCAAATACTGGTGAAATAACCACAGCTAAACAGAAAAAGTGTAGCACGAAAATGTCCACCTCACCAGAGCAACAGCTATTATGGTGTTGGCTAGATTGCGTTGTGGTTTCCTGCAACAAGATCTAGCACACAGATTTGGCATATCGTGTATGCATGTATCCCGAATTTGGATTACTTGGCTGACATTTCTTAATCAGCGACTACGTGCACTCCCTATTTGGCCCACAAGAGAATGCATTGATCAAAACATGCCTTTGTGTTTCAAGGAAAACTTTCCACAAACTAGAGTCATTATCGATTGTACAGAAATAATGATTGAAATGCCGTCATCATGCAGGAGCCAATCTGCCACTTTTTCGTCATACAAAAACCATAATACTGCGAAATGTTTGCTTGGTATGTCCCCAAATGGGTACCCTAGTTTTGTCTCCAGTTTGTATGCTGGTCGAACCAGTGACAAAAAACTAACAAAGGACTGTGGGATCCTTAATCTGCTCGAGCCGGGTGATCAAGTTATGGCCGACCGGGGTTTTGACATTGAGGATGACCTCCCCGCTAACACAACCTTAAACATCTCTCCTTTTTTAAATGGCAAAGATCAACTTAGCCTTGAAGAGGAAGTCAGAACAAGAAAGATTGCTTCTGTTAGGGTGCATGTGGAGAGAGGTATCGCACGAATAAAAAATTTTAGGATTCTTCACCAAGTTGTGCCGATCACAATAGCTAAGGACCTAGACAAAATCTGGGCTGTTTGTTCATACTTAACGTTGTTCTTGCTTCCTATAATTGTTGAAAAAACAAACGCAGATTAAAGACATACTGTTATTGGTTATTGTATGTGACAGTAACATCAAAAATACTTTAATTTTAGGATTCTATAAGTTTCAAATTTTATATGTACAATAGCACATATCAGTGAAGTTAGGCCTGCTCTGGGACCTTAACTCGCCGCGAGATAAGGCGAGCCTATGCGAGTTAAGGCGAGATAGGGCGAGTTAAGGAAAAATCTGGCTACTGACCCTTGCGAGTTAAGGCGAGATAAGGCGAGTTAAGGAAAAATCTGGATATTGTATACACACTATGTATTTCGCTTTGCTTGTGCATTATGCAAAGCAAGTATGCAGTACTTGAAGTAGCAGGCCTAGAAAAGTGTTTTATTCTATATTCTACAATACATACATGATATGCACAATAACTCGGGACCTGGAAACAAGTTGCATCAAAACGAGGCTGGTAGCCAGATGCCAAACTGTATAATTTGAGGCATTATGCATAGTGTGTATAGAACTGCATTGTTTCCTAAATCTTCACAGTATCAGTTGCTAACTTGCTATGACTAGCTTCACCACATAATTTGTAATTTTTAGCTGTTTTCATGAATCATGACATTATCAATTAGGTTCCAATTTGTTTGCAAGCAGCAGTCCTTGTATTCAATTTTTTATTTAATTTAATATAATATAAACATTGATATGAAACAAAGAGAAACTAAAAAGCTTGCTAGGAAATTATAGATTATTTACTATTAAATTTAGCACTTTAATAACTATTTTAATTAACGAAATTTCGAACCACAATCACACAATGATATATTAAATGATAACCAACGCTCATAATATTAAAATTAATGCCCAACTTACTTGCTTTGGAAACGTAAATGAATGTAAATGACAATGATTCTTCTGTATAAAACTGTATTATTGTTTAATAATATATATTCCTATTTCCTATCAAGCTTTTATATTCAGAATTCACTGCCTCTCATTAACACTAACACTAAGTATTGCAAGCAGATTGTACTTTTTCCGCTGAAGGGAGCAATATTTTCAATATCTGTTCCCAGACAGCATCCCGCCCCCCTGGTAAACGGAATCTTCTTTCCCATCATCGCGGTAATTCCTCTGTGGTCGGGGGGGGGGAGGTCTACGCAGTCTATAAGTCAGAATCATTCGATTCCGCAAAGGCAATATGGCGGGATATGCATCAACATTTTAAAGTTTTTTTAATATCATCATATTAGAATGAAATTCAAAAAGCCTTGTCCCTACAGATTGTTTCTACTAAATTTAATGTTGGTCACAGACAGGCAAGCACGGTATGTGTACTACACTATCCACCTTTAACTTTGCTTTTACTGTAAATCTATATTTTCACGAATTTTGTGAATGTGATTGTGTATTAAAATATTTCTCCTAAAATTCTGCGCGTATCGCTGGTTCAGTAGCTCTGTTGCCGGTTGTATATAAAAACAGTTCAACGAATAACTTTGCAGTTTGAGCTGTTGATATCACAGAGACCTTTTAAAATTTGTTATTCATGTGATAGGCTGATAGCTGCATAAAAGCTAAGCAAGTACTTTTGCTGTTTTGATATCATTGTATAGTTGAAATAGAATAGATAAGTGATCTGTATATTAGTATATATGGGAATATTAATTTTCAACCATACTTGGCAGTTTGGGTTCTGTTATTATGTTCGATTATTTTCACTGTGATTTATTAATTAAATATTGGGTATTACTGTATACAGTATGCCTGCTAAGGCCTGCTTACTGCAGGGCTGCAAATTACTGTCGGACCTCAGACAATGTCCGACTAAATTTGGCAAATGTCCGAGCAAAAGTAATTTTGATCGGACATTGGTCTGATCACAAAAAAATTTGTCACATACATTTTTTTGCTGTGACAAAATCCTATTGCAAATTTGCATTTTGCAATAAGGCATTCTAGCATTTTACTTAATGTTGCGCCGGAATGGCTATACATACTTGTCTCGTGACATATATATTTTGTGACGTATATATGTCCGACCAAATTTAGTGATGTTGGTTTTTGTCCGACCAAATTCAAGTTATATCCGACCAAAATTAAAAGTGATCGGACAAATGTCCTGTCAAGTCAAATATTTATTTGCAGCCCTTTTACTTTATTAAAGTAGAGTAGTTGGTGGAATTATTTGATCAATACAGCTTTATGGCATTACAGAGAATGTAGTAAATTAAAAATATGATAACATTTCAGATAATCAGGCTTACATACTTGTATGTTGATGTCAGTTGCAATGCCAAACTCATAGAATATATAAGTGAGTATTGTGAGTCTAAAGAATTTTGATTGACAGTATTTGTGTTTTACTGACGTGAAACTGTGCCGGTTATTATTGCAAAATAGGGCGAGTTTAGGCGAGTTAAGCAAAATTCTGTCAACTTCTCATTGCGAGATAAGGCGAGATTGGGCGAGTTAAGCAAAATTCGATCTTTTTCTCCTGCGAGATAGGGCGAGATAAGGCGAGTTAGGGCGAGTTAAGGCGAGTTAAGGTCCCAGAGTAGGCCTAATACAATAAATCATTGAAAAGAATTGAATAATTACAATATATGAATCATTTAGACATTGTCCATGCTCTGTCTATAACGCAAATCACATATTTTCACGTCTTGATACAACGACTGCATTTCAAGCCGCAAAAAGTGCAACTGCAAAATGGTTTCAGCAGAACTCTTCCCAAACATAAAACCCACGTCTTCAACTTCTAAGACTGTACTAAATTCATACGATTGATAATATAACACGAATTATCTTTGCTACTATTTATTTGAAGGAGTTTGTTCTGGCCGTCTCGTTGCCGTTCTAAAATCGTAATTTCTCTAATAATGCGCCAACTCACCCACCCTTAAAACTGAAATGATTAAAGAACAATGTACTGAGGATAGTATAAAAGTGTGAAGATTTCTGAAGCAAACCTTATACCTTGCTTTGACATTACTGATTTTTTTCCGCTTGCTGTGCGTGAACATGTGCAGATAGCTTCTTGAGACGAGCTAACAATCTCGTTACAATCATCATCAAGACTAAAGTCCAGAATTCGTCTCGTTCCATGAACTGTTTTACTGCAAATACTTCGTTTATTGCTCTTGGCTTGTAATTCAGATGTACCTTCCTCATGTCCGTTAGCACTACCTGACTCCATCTCAGTATTTGTAAAACACGAGTCCGAACGTCCGGGTAATGTGTTCATTAAATCATCTTTTGATAAACTTTCTTCTTGTAATGGTGGTAGCTCATTTAATACTGATACAAGTTCTTCTAAGTCTGGATGTGTACCTAGCGAAACGTTTCAAAAAATATATGTACTCAAGCTCAGATTTTATATTGTTTGTATTCAGAGCTAGAAATTATATTTCTTTCCTCACAGCAAAATCCAAAAATATAAATTTCCTGTGAATGTGTAAATCAAATATAAAACTTCCTGTATATTTAAATGCGAGGGGTTACAAAAACAGGCATACTTTATAGCCCCAAACCTTGGCAATAGAGTATGGCCGAAACAGGCGTACTTGGCTATCTTGAACTGCCTGTGCCAGTGCAGGTAGGTACGCAACTACCTGAAAATATATAAGGAGAATTTCGAGGTTTCGAGCGAAGGCATTTTAGTGTTATGATACTGCACATCATGATCAACTTCAATCTGGGCGCAAGACAATCTCGACTTGCAAAACGCTCTTGTACAGTGTAAAGGCCATGTAACACGGTGCAATTTTTCTTGCAACTTGCAATGCAATTCTACTCTTGAGAGATGTTAATTAGTGAAATCAGTGAAGATTTTCGATATGTTCAGAAAACATCAGCGGAGTGTAATGAAGACTCGTACTTGGCAATTTTACATCTCTCAAGAGTAGAATTGCATTGCAAGTTGCAAGAAAAATTGCACCGTGTAACATGGCCTTAAGCAATAAGTAAATTTTATATATAATACCTTATTGAATTCTGATCGTTGAATTGGCTGTTTATGGTCACGTGATATTGAACAGAAAATTCCATTTTCCAAGAGTGCAATGGAATACGTTCCATTGCACTTTTTGCGAGTGCAATTGTGCTATACGTTTTATTCCATTGCACTCTTTGTGTTTTCGATAAATCGCATGCGTCAAAATGCTTCTCGTACGATGATCGCAGTTTATTTTAACCCGATATTCGAAACTCAGTAAATGGGATTTAATGCAAATACGACTCGTCAAAATGGCGGGAACTTACCGTAAACCTTTTAATATTAGTCTATTTTGGTATTATATAAAACAAATAATTTATGTTTTAATTCGTGCAATGGTAAGAATATTTTCATGAGGTAAAAGATGGAATGTTCCATTCAACGAGGCGACAGCTGAGTTGAATGGAACATTCCATCTTTCACCGAATGAAAAATAAAAACATTCATTATTTGTATAATATGGATTCTAGTGTACGAGATGAGAAAATTTCGTCGGTGGGATGTAAGAAAGTTTCCTGCGAAAATATTTAGTTAAAATTTCCTAACAGCGGCGCTGGCGGACATTTCTCAGAACTGTTTATATTTATAATAGACACAGTTCATTAAGGAAAAGCATTCTCCTTATATAAACACAACACGGGGGAGGGGGATATACGGACAAGGAAACGTGCCGATCTATCTGTGATGATACAGAAGGCCAGAGGTAGCGCGCGAGTAAAGCAAGAGGAAATCATGGGGGGAAAGTAATTTTAAATCTTGGAAAGTGAAGATAATTTTGAAAGCAAAAAAAATATATGCATTGCGCGATACACGGAGATATACGCCATTATTATAGGACATAATGATACTTTCATTTTGCTGGTACGATATATGACCAGCAAGCTTTCAAAACCATAGCTTTCCGAAACATGATTGGAGATATGTGATGAAATATCAACTGTATAGTTGTTTGTACTGTATATGCAGTCTACAGTAGTATAGTCTCAGGATACTGAAAGAATATCTGTCAGAAAACTGTTGCATCACATATACAGATATACTTTATATTAAAGACAAAGTACTCCTTGAGGTTTAAGTTTGTACAGTTCAAGTACGCGGCAAGAATCATTGAAGTACCAGTGAAGTAGAGTACGACTACAAATCTTCAATTATCGCACTCTGATACAATATTATACATTACTATAATATTCTACGTTGTTTAACTGAATAAAATCCTCTCTGCCTTTTAAAGAATTACGGAAATAAAAAAAATGTTGAATGACGATTTCCAGTTCTGGCGATTTTTTTCCTCCAAATTTGTGTAAAACTTCACTCTTTAGAAACTCGTATTTTAATAGATATGGTATAAAAGCGTCCTCTTCAAGTTGCTATCCTTAAGACTAAACTAGCTATATAATTATAAACTGAACACTGTCTTCGATATATACAGACCTAGAACGTGGAAAACTCTGTGTAGCAAGTGTCGTTTGTTGCAAACAAACTGTTGTTCATAAATATGTAGGAATGTATCGTCATGCATAGTTCATGTTATTTTGTGATTGTAATTTTTATGTATTGTTATATGTTTAGTGTAATTTTTGTAAATTTTTTGGTGGGACTTAATAAGGAACAAACAGTTCTATTGTCCTTTCCATCTATCGTGCGATTGTTAACAGGTGGGAAAATTGACTGAGCATACGCGAAAACAGCTCGGGCAGGGGCCGCCGTATCGGGAGGGGGTACAATGGGGGCATGTGCCGCCCCCCACACTTTTTTAAAAGTGAAAAAAGTGCCATTTTTCTGGGCTAAAGTGCCTCATTTACAGAACGAAAAAGTATTTCTTGAACGAAGGACCTCATTTGCTGGAAAAAATGCCCTTTTTGCAGTGTAAAGACTCTGTAAAGGCCATTTCCGACGCTATAGGGACTCCATATTTTCAACAATTTCCGTTCGTCTCGTGAGCGATATAAAATCGTTTGATTTTTGGTCACATACAAAAGTGCCCCTTTTGGCCAATGCCCCTCAACTTTCGAAATGCTTCCGCGGCCTCAGAGCTCGGGTTTTCAGCGAGAGAAGAAGATATGCGTGCTCCACTTGGTTGATTTAAAAAAACATAAACAACATGAACGAAGGCTTCGAAAGACAATTTTACAGCGGCTTTTTAGGCCCACAAATCACCACAAAATTTCCTCTATTGCCACATTTAAAGCCTATTATAGCAAAGTACTTGGCAAAATGTTTATTCTGATGCTCATTTTCAGAGTCGCCTTTTTCGTATAAATCACACTTGCACATGAAATTTCTTCATTTTTTAAGCGAGTTTACATTCTATTAACAAAAAGTAGAAAGAAAAGCACATTTTCTGACCTAATCACATTTCATTGGCACAACCTGTATGAGAAAATTAAGATGAAAAAAAAGCAATTTTAGCAAAATAGATCACATACTGAAATTTGACGATGATCGTTGGCGCACAGTATCACTCAAAAACCAAATATTTATACAGCTAATTTCCCAATTGCGACAAGTAATTGTGGCCTTGATTAACGTTTATTAAAGGTCGGGTACAGTCCGTATGTAAACAAAGCCTATGTTTACAGTTCGGTATTCAAAATATTGAACTTTTAATATTCGACAACTATTTATATTTTCATGCTTCTACAGTATAATAAATGATCCCGATACAACAATCAGGCTTTGCAAGAACATAAAATGAAATAAAGACCCAATTAAAGTGTTATATCACGGCAGGAGACTCCTATGTGCACATGCGCAGACCGGACTGTACCCTATCTTTAACGTTTACGGCTAGTTTTCTTTTTCCTCTGCCGCAGTACGAGAAACAGGGTAGCGAAATCTGTGTTTTTGTTGTTTTCACAATTTTTGTTGGCAAAAAGAAAGCGTTCGCGATAAATTCGGTCAATTTTTCCACCTATTGCGATTGTTAAGTTCATAAAAAAAGAATAAAATACCATCTACTGTACCTTTAAAAAAAAGACGAAGTTCCCAAGTATATTGAATTGGTTTAAGACATACTAGGTGCCGGTTTTAAACGAAGGCCGAATAGCGGTACCCTCGGATAGTATTTTTCAAGCTTTTCTAAATTGTCTGTTGGTTCGTGTAGCCCAGATTAAACTTAATCTCGAACAGTCTGTCCCGGTGTAGGTAGTGACGATATTAGGGAGCTTTATATATAGCAGCGAGTACGAACACGACTACGAGATTTGATCACGTGCGAGGAAATCACCGTGGTCGTTCTCATTTCCGTTCAAATGTTGCTTTTATAGTAGTTAACAAACAACGAAAGAAAAGTTTCTATAAACTAAATCTCCTGCAAGCTAAAATCCACTACAAAATGTGCAAATAAGTCATAAGTTAAACATTAAAAACAAGCCAGATATTTAGTACTAATAGGTTTTTTTCCTGGAATAAACGCTACAAATTATTTTTGAAAAAAAAAAAACAAAAAAAAACTTTCTTTGTTTTCTGAAAAGTCGTCGTGAGGACTACGAGATCAGGGTGTTAGCCAGAAAAAGTTTTGTCCGTTAAACGTAAATTGGGAAAGTTTTCTTGACCGATCAAAGTCCTTGTGTAGGAGTTAATAGTGAGTTTTCCAACGTGTTTCTCCTTAGGTTTAGATGCAAACAAGTGTAGCTTGGTTTTGTACATTTCATTTCAGGTGAATGAACACTGAAAAACACGGATGCACACCGATTACACTTTGTTTTGTACATTTCATTTCAGTGAATACACACCCAATATGAATGAAACGCGATACATTTTGAGAAAATAGTTAATGGGAAAAAGTAAATAAAACGTTCTTTGATATAATATTATAATATAGCATTTGTAAATTCTGAACGCTGATTGGCTAAGAGCCGTGTTGATATAACTCAATGTCAACACGGAAACGTCGGAAAATTTCTTTCTTTATATTTCTTTGTGCTATATTATAAAACAAATATAAAACATTTTTTCCGTATTGATATATAGTTATATCAACACTCGTGGAAATTGTGAAAACTCGAAATTGTGTGAAAACACTCCGCCCTTCGGGCGTCGTGTTTCCACACAATTTCTCGTTTTCCCAATTTCCACTCGTGTTGATATAACTGCATATCAACACGGAAAATGTTTTATATTTGTTAAATATAAAATCAAACGCAATGCACTTTCTCATCAGAAAAAAAATCTTCCAGTAGACCAGTTGGGAAAGCCCCTTAGCTATTTCAATTGGGAAGAGTCCGTCAAACGGACAGTACATGGGCTAGCTAACACCCTGGAGATTTCTCCACAATTTCGTTCTCAGATTAGCAACGGCTACGACTTCTTCGCGTCAGTACGGGATGGCGTAAGCATACATCACGCGTTTCGCTTGACGAATCTCGTACTCGTGCTCGCTGCTAAAACCTAATAAGAAGGCTGCGGCATGGTAGGACGAAGGGCCTTTGAAACGTCGAAGTTCTCCTTGTATTTTTTCAAGTACAGTCGTTGTATCCCTATCAATCCGCAGCTATCAGATAAAACTTTATAACTCAGCATATAAATCAATTAGTTTCTTCTTGTAAAATGTGAGGTCTACTGGTCTATATCTGTAGTTTTATAGCCTACAAGCATTTTTACATCTGCTGGATATAGCTATCATGTCTTCGAACAACCCATGGAACACTCTGACCAGTATTGAGATGATTTAAACTCTCAGAAATATTGTAATACACATTCAACGTTCAATCCACATATACGAGAAACTTCACACTCAGATATTAATAATACACCCTTTCGATAATTACATCACCGTCGTCACACCTACTTTTTGGTCTTGGATCCTCGCTCGCATTAGCGACCTTAAGCATCGAGAACATTGCCGTCCGGGGCGTTGACCGGAAATGATTTTTGTCTAATACGCGTGACGTAATACTGTCAGGACGCAGTCAAGGTTTTGTCCAGGACGTGGGTTTGCATTGTATTGAGTTCTGGAGAAAATGCAAACAAAACTATGGCTTTTACCAGAAAAGCTCGGTCATTAAACAATGTCCCGGACGGCAATGCTTAAGGTCACCATTAGTAAATAGGGAGCTTTAGCAGCGACTACGAGTACGAGTACGAGATTCGTCAAGCGAAACGCGTGATGTATGCTTACGCCATCCCGTACTGACGCGAAGAAGTCGTAGCCGTCGCCCATCTGAGAACGAAATTGTGGAGAAATCCCGTAGTCCTCACGACGACTTTTCAGAAACAAAGAAAGTTTTTTTTTGTTTTTCAAAAATAATTTGTAGCGTTTATTCCGGGAAAAATAATCTATTAGTACTAAATATCTGGCTTGTTTTTAATGTTATGTCTTATTTGCACATTTTGAGGTGGATTTTAGCTTGCAGGAGATTTGGTTTATAGAAAATTTTCTTTCGTTGTTTGTTTACTACCATAAAAGCAACATTTGAACGGAAATGAGAACGACCACGGTGATTTCCTCCCACGCGATCAAATCTCGTACTCGTACTCGCTGCTAAAGCTCCCTAATTACGCAAGGTGATTGGACGAAAGGATGTATTGTGGGACGTCTGGCGACACGAATATTGTTTGTCCTCCACAGAGCGTGGGAAATTGTGATGTCGAAATGAAGTCAAAACTTAATACAATACCTTCCATAATATCATTCCAGTCCACATCTTCGTTCATTCCCAACCACTTAAACACTTTCTGTAAATGATTTACATTCACTTCCGCTTCACTACCAAAATAATACAAACATAACATTAACAGATATAAGTAGATAAATATCGACATTTTTGCCATCTCGCTCGAAAGAACTAGTAGTTGACGAGCCTTTCTAGATCGCAATTTCTAGCAGAAGATTACATAGAATTTTTGACCTAACCAGGAGCAGTTGCGAAACATTCAACTCCAGGCCCTCTGGCAGGAATCGAAGCTGCGGCCTTGCGATTGCAGTCCAGCGCTCTAACCAACTGCGCCACAGAGTCCAGTTGCCGCTCTAACCACAAGTTCATGTAAAATACCAAGATGAAGCCAGTGTAAAGCGTATGGTTAAATGTCAGGATCTTGGCCATCTCACTCGCTAGAACTAATTCTGAAGGGATCATAAACAGATATTTTGAGTGTACTTCCATCTACAATCAGGGTCTTAGCTAGCATTTTCGATCTTGGGCGTGTTTCTAAATGACCAGGGTGTGCACATCACGGTTCTAGTTATGCTCGTCAACAACAGGCAATAACTGTGGTTGTTCTATGCTTTGCAACCAAATACAAGGAGAGTATAAGCTAATATTACGCACTGACATTAAAATATTAAGTTTTTTCAGCAACTCTTGGGGGTATTTAAAACCATTTTAACACCATACAGTTCCCATTATCCACCAAAACATTAAAACATCACATGCAGATCACTTTCGTCAATTTCAACAATAACCATAGATTTTACAAACTTTCTTACAAAGTACAGTGAATAGGAAGAAATTCTGTCTGTTATTTTATGAACCTACACGGCCTTATATAAATAATGAAACCGCGTTCATTTTATCTAGCCGTGTTTTTCCCTTTTTGGCCGCGATAACACGGCCAACACGGCCCTCTAGCTAAGACCCTGTCTACAATCCCCATAATAGTGACTTCATTTGTATTTCTTGTATTACTCACAGTGACATATTACCACAAAAAATTTTGCATTTGTAAATATTTATAATTAACTGATAAGCTTTAGCAATACTTCTATGTAAAGTCATGCTAATAAAGCCATTTCTTGCTGGAACTGTCGTACAAATGGAGATGATCTCCCCAGGCGCCGTGGCATTTCAATTATTTACAATATTTACAGGGAAAATGAGAAATTAAAGCTATTTATTATATCATGGCAAACATCACTTCCGGTGAAATGGTAGATTGTGATTGGCTGAGAAGCACTTTCAGCGGTTCATTATTTTCCCGCAATGGACCGGCGGTCAATTCTTGGGTTTCAATGCATTGGCATTATGCAGTGAATCTGACGGGGTGTCAACCTTAAATGTGTTGATGCTTATACTGTACTGGAGTGAGAAAATGATACGAAATTCCATGTATTTGCCACCAAACACAAGGCACATAAAACGAACAATCGACTCACTGTCTCACTCTGATAACTGTGTTTTGTTTTAGAGTTGACCCCTCCCCCCCCTCCCCCCGTCACTTTTAAGCTGTTATGACATTTTTGTCTAGATCAAACTTTTGTTCATTAGGGAATAGGTCCATTGGCACCAGATCACAAATACGTCTTAACATTCGTAGGCCTTTAGAACAACATGGACCAGTGAATCTATTCCGATCCGGATTTTATGTACTATTTAAAACACGAGTAGGAGTGTTTTATCAGATATAAAACGCGAGGCGCAGCCGAGCGTTTTATATCTGATAAAACACGACAACGAGTGTTTTGAATAGCTTAAATACGACTACAAAAGAATACTAATTAGGATGAACCATAATATAATCATGCTAATTAAGATGGACAATTATATAATGCCACATGTGTTTCATCAGATATAAAGTCACTCGACGTGACATATTATGACTGACTGCATGGTTTGCCACAAGGTTTATGAATTATTAATGAGTATTTTAAAGAATTGTAAGACTCAGTAAAAGTTCTTTGGTTCAAGGCAATAAGAAGTTTCGTGTTACATGCAGTTTAATCAAAAGAACGATGTTTAAATGACATACCTTACGATGTCCATGCTGTCGAGATAACCACGAACCAGCTAAATAATCAAAAACAAGAAAGAGAAACTTGAATACATTGTAAAGGTTGCAATGTTAACAATTTCTTGGTGTACACGAGTTGGCACGTTTCACTATAAGTACGGTACACGTACATAATAATCGCAGTTCTCACAGTGAAAAAAAAAGATACACTTAATATGTCTGCTTCCGAGGGAAAGTTTTGTTTTCCCGAGCATTTCAATGTTTCTGGAGACGTAGTCGAGGAGAACATTGAGATTCAAGGGAAAACAAAAGAAACTATTTCGCGTGGGAACAAACATTTATAATTTAACTGTTTTGTTATATAGCAATGAAGAAAAATAAAGCACATTCACAAAACAATTATATTTCATAAAAGTGTTTCATGTAAATTATCTTAGCGATAAAAGAACCAGCTAAAAAGTGCTTCAGCAGCATTTGCTGTTGCCTCTTCAGTATTTTTTCTTCTCTGCTAGATACTGTACATGCGAAAACTTTCCATACTTTTGACTCCATGTTGAGCACTTACGAATCAAGCCTGTCGGAGCTTGCAAAATTTTTTAACTTGTTGCCCGGCGTGATACATTGCAGTTATCTAAATCCACGTCTAAATCTATTAAAATAGCACAATAGTTTATAAATCTATAGGCTATAGAATAATGTAACAAATGTCATATGCATGTTATTTTTTAGTCAATTAGCCTTTCTCACGATGACGAATATCAGCCATTTTTGGGTGGCATCTAATTCTCGTTAACCAATGCAGACAATGAAAACAATGTGCAAAGCAATTTTTCAAAATAAACTAACCATTTACAAAGCAAATTTACCATTATTCGTCAAAAAATAATAAAAAGTCGCTGTTATGTGGACTTATCTCGCAGACTTCGGCTGAAATCTTTTTCAGCCGAAGTGTGAGGAAAGCTAAATGATTTTCAAAATTTTCTGGCGGGGCATGGATCCTCCTGGTAGTGCCCTTTTTTCCATCTGTATTTACTTAAGATCAGACCTATATTCATTCCAATGGGCCAGACCCCTCAATGAATATTATCTAAATTAGTTTAATGTTATATTCCTAAAAGCAATGTTAAGATTTTCAGTGCACTGATTCAGAAATTGATTTTTCGGTTAAAAAGTAACATTCAACCTGACAACTTAGTGTCACACACATTGTCCGAGTGTTGATTCACTTGATTATTTGCGGTCCCAGAACGTAAAATATTTTTCCACCCCTGATCTTGTTGTAAGATCCTATTAAGATTTTGTACAGACTTAGGAACCAATCAGGAATCAGTCAACCCAACCCAACCCATAGTCCACAGAGAGAGAAAGATTTGGAACAACAATTAACTTGAAAGGTAAATCACATGTATGTATATATACATATAACTTACATTCAGATCATCATCCTTAGGTGTTTCTCCAAGAATTAACTCCATAATTCTCCTGCCTTCTTCTTCAAATTGGCCATCCATTGCAACACCTTTGGCAACAAAATAAAGATACCACATTTATATAAAGATTCACCAAAAATTACGGGAACCACTGAGTATTTTAATAAAATATAAAACCGTTACGGTAACTCCGAAAATAAACATTTTAATATTCTAGCTTTCGACTAAGATTCAGTCATCATCAAGAATGATGCTAGGTTACATTACATCGATATATATAATTTATATATATATATATATATATATATATATATATATATATATATATATATATATATATATATATATATATATATATATATATATATATATA